CTCAGAATCACTTGGCCCTCCGGGAGGAGGAAGGTGGTCATCCTGCAACCCTCTGCATCATTAGGTCTCCTTGATCTAGGAGAGAAATCATGTGGCAGAGAGGTTTTTGGGCCAAAGGGCCAGGGTTGTTACTGTCTTTAGCCAGGCTCTGGCCATTGGAACACTGGCTCCCCTCAAAAGGGAGGTTTGAAAGCTTGGGGAATCTCTTGGCTAAATCCTACCCATCGCCACTTTGCTCCATCCCTAAGATATCCAACAGCTGAGCAGTAGATGCTAACATACCTCCACTGACAAAAAGCTCCCTACCACTCCAGCCCCGATCTCAGCAAGTTTCTCTTTCCCTAGCTGAAATGTACTTCCTCGGGAACATCAAAAGGAGTCCATTCTCCAGGAAAGACCAACAGGCCCAGATGGAGGGTCTCCCTGACTTTGCGAGTACCTCCTGACAGAGCCTGACACAGAACCCCACCTCCTGTGGCTTCTTCATAATGCCTCCCTGCCCCCCTTCCTCCTGCTTCTTCAAAGCTCTCCAGACAGAGTACCAGGCTCTCAACTTTGAAAAGCCCTCTGTGTTCTCTGATCCCCCAGCTTTCAGAGAAGGCAGAGCGGGAAGGTTTCCAGTTTTGCTCTGGAAGACCAGAGAGATGGAGTAAATTACCCAAAGGCCCACTCACAAGAAGGGGTGACCAGCAGGACCTAGCTCTCCTGGTTCCCAGCCCAGGACCACACAGTCCCCTCCAGAAATGCCGGGACAGAAACACTTCTGGGCATCTCTCCCCCTGCTGCTATGGGCAGGGGGAGCAGGAAGAATGCAGAGACACCAGCCTTGCCTGGGGAGGAGAAACTTGATTGTTGCTGTGAGGTTGGCCTCCTAGGAACTGCAAGGCCTGTGGCTGATGGAGAAATAGAAAATGTCATCAGTCATCCAGAGGATGCCCTGGCTTGGAGCTGCTTTACAAGATAAGTGTCCTTGGCTTCTGGGCTAGGTCGGACAAAAGGAAGTTGTGAGGGGGTGTGTGTGTGTGTGTGTGTGTGTGTGTGTGTGTGTGTGTATGTACATGCCCACGTGCATGCACGTGTGTATGTATGTGTATATGTATAGATATGTACATGCAGAGAGGACATTTTAAAGAGAATCCCAGGGAAAGTATGCTTATTCTCAAGGAAAGGAGCAATAGTGGTGGAATCTCAGGCAGCTGGCATTTTTGGCTGGGAGATGCCTGAGGTAAGTGAGTAGATGTGACCATGGATATTGGGGTTCCAAAGGGCCAGGCCTGGGCACTTAAGGTCCAGTTACTGTGTCTTGCAGGCCCCTAAACACCCAGCAAATGTCTCCCAGGTCTAGTTGGACCCTGGCTATGTCCCAACAAGGTTGGGGGAGAAGGGTCTTCATGAGGGAGACCCCTCTAACCCTTCCACATAAAGCCCTACCAAGGCCCAGGGAGAGGAAGGCAAATGGGTTCCCAAGTTGCCAGCTGCAAGGCCCAGTGACAAAATCATCGCCTTCGAGGCATGTGATCATTTTGCACAACTGATCCTCACCCCTAGAAAGGGCTCCAGGAGTTTGGGAAGGAACCGTGGGCCTCCTGGGTCCTGCACATGGCTCTGCAGCACTGGGAGGTATAGGAAGCTTTTGTTACATTTATTCATCCCTTCATTCAACAATGAGCACCTACTATGTGCCAAGCAAGGGAGTACAGCAAGAACCAGTTAGACCAAAATTCCAGCTTTCATGGAGCTTGCAATCCAGTAGGGGAGGCGGTGGTTGGGAAAGACAATGTAAGTACAAGGCTCAGCCTGCTGGGTCATGACTAGTGATTAGAGAAAAGGCAGGAAAGGAGAAAAGGGAATGAGGTGGGATGGGGTGCCATTTTAAATAGGGTGCTCAGCAAAGGCTTCACTGAGGAGGAGATATTTGAATAAAGCCCTTAAGGAGGTCAGGGAGTGGGCTTTGCAGATCCTGAGGGTAAGGACCTTCCAGGCAGTGGAAACAGCACGTGTAAAGTCCCTTGGATGTGAGCGTGCCCAGTAAGGTTGAGGAATGGTCAAGAGGCAAGTGTGGCTAGGGTAAATGAACAAGAGAGTAAGGCGTGAGAGATGAGGTCAGAGAAGCACAGGAGCCCAGTTGGTTGGGGCCTTGTAGGCCACTGTGAGGAATCCCGGTCTGGGGGGACTTGAAGCTTATACAGTCCAGGGGGATAGCCTCAAGATAGGTAAATCAATTCAGGGCCTTGGAAGGGGCTTGTGCAAGTGAGAGGCGCAGACACTTAAGCTTTGCCAGTCTTGCTATAAATCTGCCACTAGTTGTGGTGAGAATTTTGGCTTTTGCCTGGAGAGGGAGCCACAGGAGAGTTTTGAGCAGAGGAGTGGCAGGACCTGACCACCCTCTGGGCTTCCTCTGGCCGCTGAGTGGAGGATGAACCTGTTGGTGGGGCAGGGAGGAGAAGAGGGGGAGAGAGAAAGCCAGAACACCAATGAGCAACATGGACTGGCAGTGACAGCCGAGGGTGGACAGTGATCAGAATCTGAAAGTGGAGCTGACAAGATGTGCTGATCTGGGATGTGGGGTGTGATAGAAGAAAGGCAGAAGAGTTGACCCAGCGATTGAGGCCTAATCCAGTTATCCCCAGCTGAGGTGAGGAAGGAGAGCATCCTCGTTCCTGGACCTCATATTATCCAGTTCTCTACTTTATTTGTAATCTGCACCACTATGCTGAGGCAGAGCTTTCATTAATCCTACTTCGCAGATCCAGAAATCTAGACTCAGAGAGCTGGAGTAACTTGCCCAAGGTCACACAGCCAGTAAATGGCAGAGCCTGGATTCCAACTTTAGTCTTACCAACTCCAAAATCCATATCTGTTCTGATGTACCAGGAAAAGCAAAGTTGGGGCCCTAGGAGCATGTTGGGTGGGAGAGGCACATTCCAGTAACCACAGGGGCCCCTGGGATGACTGCAAAGAAAGTTTCCAGCACCCTACACCATTTCCTCCTCAACTCCTTCTTCAACCTGCTTCTAATCCAGCAGCTGGGAGATCTCAGCTGTAATCTTGGGGCAACGTTTTTGTCACCTCTCAAGTTTCCTTAATTCACTGACAAGGTAGTAACTGCCTCGACCTGTGATACACGTTTTCTAAGGAAGTTTCAACATTAGAATGCAAAGCAGGCTTCTCTGGCTTAGAAAAGCCTGAGATTCCTGGGATTTAATCATCAAACAGATTTAGCCGCTAATCTATTTGATGATTAACATCAAACATTTCATAAGAAAAAACAAATGGCAACGAAAACAAATGGCAATGTGGCCAGTGTGTCCAGGCCACCCAAATGTGCCTGATTTCTCCCCCAATTAAACTCATTGCATTTAAACTGATATAAATTGATGGTCCCAGGTGCATTCACTCAAAAGGTTTAGTACCCACATGAGTCTGCCATTATCACAGTAACCCATCTGACTTGGTTGATATTTTTATTATTATCAATATGGATTGCAAAGCCTTAGCCCATATTTGGGATGCCCAATCCTCTGTAGTTTACTTAGAACAGCTCATGCCACTTTCTGTGGCTGTGCCCTGCTTGGAGCCTGGGAGAAATTGACACAACCGTAGAAACCCAGGACTTGTGAATCTTTTACCATCTCGGAGCTTTGCTCTTTTCAAATCATACCTCTTCAATACCGCAACAAAAACCTGGGAAGCCAAGCTAAACAGTTCTTGTCCCTTCCAGCCTTTCTCCAGCTCTCTGCTCTTGGTAAAACCTACCAGCAGGAGCAGATATTTGATCTGTCATAGAAGCTGTGATACTACACTGCCCAGATGTTCTACTCACTAGACTGAAGGCTCAAGTTACAGCTAATCAGGGCCTCTCTACCCTACAGACCTGATGCCCACCCCACCTCCCAGCCCCAAGAAACAGGATCCTTGGCCCACGTGGCCAACTAAGATGGAATAAGTAGGACCTACATTGGGAGGGGATTCACTAAAATGACCCCTGTAGGGTCTCTACACCAGTGGCTTAGAAGGCGTGTGCTCTCAAAGCCCTCTGGGGCCATTCAGACTGAAGGATGCCCCCTCACAGTCCTCAAACACCTGAATCCTTGCCCTAAGGCCTACTTCCTTTCCTTAGCAAGAGTTTAAAGAGTCTGCAGGAACCTTTCATGAGAAAAAAACAAATGGCAAAGTGGCCAGCGTGTCCAGGCCACCCAAATGTGCCTGATTTCTCCCCCAATTAAACTGCAGTTTCACTTTACTGCTATATGAGTGAGATTAAGGTTACGAATTCAGCATAAAAAATTTTTTCCTGCTAGCAGAATAAGGTAAAGAGCGAGAGACATACTATTGAGGAGAAGGGGATCAAGGCCTACATCATGCCCACAGAAATAAAGCCCTCGCCCTTTCTTGTTTGAAAGATCCTTCTTGCCCAGAGAAGTGGGGAAGACTGTGCACGTGGCTTTGTAAAAATGTGTCACTGCAGGAAATTAGATCCCAAGACCAAAACCAAGGCTGTAGCAAACTTTGAACTGAACCCAACACCACCAGGGAGCTCTTTCCTGAGACTGTGAGAGCTGCTGGCTGTGGTGGTCCCTGAGGTCCGGCCAGAAAATGGCAGGGAGACTAGTTAGTGCCTGGTGGATGCCTTCCTCCCCTGGAGGGGTGACTGGAGACAGAAACTGGGTTCCCATTCTCAGGGAAGAACTAGAGGGACCCGAGGGGTCTCCAGTCCAACCCTCTCACTTGAAGACGGGGTAGCTGAGGCCTGGTGAGGGTAGGATCACAGTTCAATCAGCAGGGGTACTAGGGGGGTCACTGCAGTGCTGGCTTCTCCCCTCATCATGAAGCTACCTCCCACCTGGCTGAAAGGGACCCCTCCATGGCCAATCAACACCCTCTACGATGAGGACAGAGGAGGTCCCTCACTCCCCAAGGCATGAGGAACAGGATGGGCAACGTTTCAAACAGCTCCCAATCTTCAGAAATGCCAAAAAACCTCATCCTCCAAGAGCAGTGTTTCCAAACTTTTGTATTTTTAGCAGCGGAAGCCATCCTCCAAACAAAACCGTATGCAAAACCTCAGCTACAAAACAGATCAGTGGGATGCTGGCCCGTGTGGGGCCTGGGCTGGGCCCCGAGCTCTCCCTTCAGCACCCAGTACTTCTTCCACAGGGCCCTATGTGAGCTCAGTTTGAAACCCCAGGCCTTGGTTGGGGTGGTGGGGGACCTTGTAGCACTGGAGCAAAAGCAGCCAGATAAGGTGGGCTCGTACTTAAGACCGCTGGAGGGTATGGCTAGTCTCTGGGACCTGGACGACTTCGTTCTCCACCAGGGCCTGGCCCCCATCCCCATTGAGCTGTCTCATGCGCAGGTTAATGGAGCCATAGGTCTTCCTGGAGCCCCTGCCAGGGACGAAGGTCCTCCGGCGGTACAGCTCGCCCTTGCACAGGGAGACCATAAGCAGCACTGACAAGAGCATGCCGCCCACTGTGAGCAGCCCCAGGCCTGCGATGATGCACTTGTCCAGGTGGGAGCCTAGGCGGGCATAGTACATCTCTAGTCGTTCCATCTCCCGTGCTGTCACTGTGTCCGGATTGACTCGAGCCTCACGGGGGATGGCGTATGCTGTCACCACCAGGAGAATCCCACTCACCAGGAAAACCAGGGCGGAAACGAAGCCATAATCCACCGGGCGGCTCACGGGTTCCAGGCCTGGCCCCTCCTCTGAATGCAGGGACAGATCATCCCGCTGGGATCGGGGCAATGTGGGGACACCCCCAGGGGGACTGGGTGAGCTGCCCAGTCTCGTGTTCCTGGGGTTCTGGAAATGGGTCTCATGCTCTTCGGAGGAGAAGCAGGCATTCTCCACACCCTCCCTGGATGGGGCCACTGGGCGCAGGGGAGCTGATCTCCTTGGGGCTTGGGGACCATTGCTCAGTATCTTCAGTTCCAGACCAGGGGGAGATGCCATTGGGAAGGAGGGCCCCAGCTCATCCCTTGGCCCCTTGGCAGCTGGAAGAGAAAACAAAAAGTCAGTTGAATGTAGCAACCTCTACCTGTTGTGGAGGACATCACACCAGTCCCCAAGCACACAAAGGTGAGTCAGGCACGATTCCCATTTGGGGGTGTCTGCCAGGCAGAGGGGGAGATGGGGAATAAGACGAGAGAACAGTGTGATCCAGCCCAGATCCCACTCCACCACCAGGTGGCGTATGGTTGTGGGCAATTCACTAATCCTGTCTGGCTTTGGTTTTCCCACCTACAGAATAATAATACTGCTACCCCCTAGTTCACAGGGCTGGAGTAGGATTGAGATAACCCATACGAAGGACTCAGAACACGAAGTGCCCAGTTCCTATCGCACGAAGCGCCATAGCGATGAGTTCCTATGATGATGGAGGGAATGTAGATAGAGTGAACATGAGGCTCCAATCCCAGCTTTACCAGCTGAGCTTGGGCAAGTGATGTGACCTCTCCAGACTCCGTGGTCTTCTTATCTGTAAAATAGTAATGAATAAAATGCCTTCCTCATAAGGTTGTTGTGAGGATTTCATAAAATAGTGAATGCAAGCCCCTGGCCAGTGTAATCCGTGGACCTTGTTGTATGAGGGAAGGATGACAGAGGGGTGGGGCAGGTGGTGGAAAGGCCAAAGTTGATGTGGGAACCAAGAGGAAGGGAAGTTTCTGGGAGGTGGTGGCATTTGAGTCAGATCTCAGAGGATGAATTGGTTATTTCCCAGCAATGGAAGGCGATGAGGGCATTCTGGAAAGGGGAACAGACTGCTTCAGAGGCCAGCTGGGGCTGGCTCACAGAGGACTCTGAAAGCCAGGGAGCCAAGGAGCCTGAGAGCCATGCAGAGCTGAGGAGCTGGAGCGGGAACTGCTGACATCTGCCCGGGCTTCAGGAGAAAGGAATGATGTGATGGGAGGAGGCAAAGTGGAGGACAGCCGTCCAGCAAGGCAGCCAGCGGATCGGGGATGGCATGGCTGAGAGGGCCAAGAGGAAGGAGCAGACTGGAGGGCCAATGCCAAATGCCTTTATGTAAACAGAAGGGTGGGGACCTGGACCAGAACCACGGGAGGGGAACCAGGAGGGGGAGGTGAGAAGAGGTACACACTCCGTGCTGCAAGAGGAGTTACCCCACCCAAGAACCTGAACACAGGCAACCCCAGACACAGACAGCAATGTGCATTCCCGCTGAAAGATACCAGCCCGGGGACCATATTTGGCTGATAGAAGTTTTGCTGTGTTTTGTTCCTGGCCTGTTCGTTTGTTTTTGTTGAATTTGTTGCAAATGTATAAAAAAGCAAAAGATTTTAGATTCTACATTTTAAATGTTGGATTCCTGGCTTCTCCTGCAAAATGAAAGAATCTGGCCACCTTAGGCTTCCATTCCCTTGTAACACTCACCTGGAGTTGGCAATCAGGGCTCTCCCCAACAGGTCCCAGCTCAGCCCCCTTCCCTGCCTGGCATGTGTAATTCCTGATCCACAGCAGAACTGCATCATCCCTTGTATACACTGATGGCCTGAGGACACATACACTCAGAGCCCCAGGCACACAAGTCCTCAGGCTACAGAGACCCCCAGATGCAAAGTGGCTTACGTGCTCCGGTGTGTCTACACACACATACGTGCACACACACACACACACACACACACACAAACCCCAAACGATTCTCTGCATTCTCATGCTGGAGTTTATTCTCCAGTGCACTGTGGTTGTGTGTGTGTGTGCATGCTTGTGTGTAAATATGAGCAAATGAAGTCAGAATGAATGAATGAATGAAACTCAAAGAGCCTCAGTACAGGAAGACACGTTTTTCGATCTTTCTGACCTTCCTCTCAGTATGGACTAGCATCAGACACCTCCTCTTAGCACATATAGGGTCTTTCATCTGAGTACAAAGCTCTTTTCCATTTACAACCTGTTTCTATCACTACATCTCTTTCCAGAGTCCCAATTTAGCAAAGGTTTACTAAGCACCTACTAGCTATTGGGCCTTGTACCCGACACTACACGCAGGAGTATCTCACATCACCCTCACCAGCCCCATGATCCAGAATTACTGTCTCCATTTCATAAAGCATGGCCAAGATCCCATGGCATGTATGGGAGTGTCGGGGGACAGGAGTTGAACACAGGTTCCCTAAGAATTATTATCATGTACAAACCAGCAAACTCATACTCCTGTGCCGGTGGCATCACTTCACCCTCCTTCCCTGGCTCTCCATCCCTCACTCATAGACCCTTCATTTTATCCAGCTGTTTCACAGCAATCGTGAGCACCTTGAGAGCAGGGATAAGTTTGAATTCCATCTGGGTCCCCATCCTGGGCCCAGACTGCTCTCACTTTCCAGTGAATAGACAGAAAAAAGAGGTGCGTTTGTTGGTTAGCTTTTTACTCTTAGCACCAAAAACATTTTCCTGGGTGCCCAGCCACAAACAGGGACCAGCGGGGTTGCCACATGGGTGCTCAGAAGTGGCCCCCACCCACACCCTCAGTACCTTCCACCCAACTCAGCTCCTGGAGTGGCCCAGGAAGCCCTTTCCAAGACTGACATATTGATGCCTCCAGGGACGTATCCATACCTTGAAAGAAATCTGGAGCTCCCAAATTCTGGGAGCAGGGCTTTCCTTCATGCTGTAGGAACCCAAAACTTTTTCTTAGGATGCCACAGTGAGAAGGCAGAGAAAAAAAGGATTCCTCTCACCCAGAGTTAGGATATCTCTCTGTTTCATGCACAGGTTCAGAGATACCAGTTACACAAAGGCTGTGCCCAATTACCCAAACATAAGCAGAAACGCACCTACTGACACAGCTACTCCTGCCCTCCGTTCACACCTCACGACCCCACCAGTTACTCCCTGATTTCATCTGCAGTCAGACAAGTCCTGAAAGGAACACTCTAGTTCCACACTCACTCCCCCAAGCAGCGGTTCCCACGGCAGTACCCACAGACACCCAGAAGCCACATAGCGTGACCCCCAGATCTTCGGGCCACTGTAGTACCCATAGCCCTAGAGGGGGCAGGACTGGTCACATATACGCACGCACCACACACGCGCGCGCGCGCACGTACACACACACACACACACACACACACACACACACACAAGTGCCCCTGGGAGTAAGATCCAAGCCAGATTCACAGAGACCCGCAGGGGCCCAACACCCCACCCACTGCGCGCACTGATACCGGGCGAGACGGACGCACAGTGGATGTGGATGAAGCTTCACAAAACCCAATCGATAGACACATGCACGAGTTGTACACAAAGCCTTGGGGCGCGCAGATACGCACACGCAGGTCCAAGCTGTTGTACCCAAAGTTGCGCGCAGAAAAGCCCCAGCATGCCGCCTGCCCACCGCGCCCGCGCCCGCCGTCCCGCAGTCCACACCCCCTGCTCCTGCCCTTGACCACAGATGCGGGCCGGGCCAGGCCAGATCGGACCCGGCAGAGGCCCAGGGAGGCCAGGTCCCCTGGCCGCATGTCCTTTGGCGGGCCGCGAGGTCAGGCTAGCTGTCCTTCGTCGCCACTCCCCGCCCCCGGCCCTCGGCCTCCAGCTGCCCCCCGCAGTACCCTCTCCGCGTGCGTACCTGTGCCGGGCCTCCCTTCCTGCCTCCCCACGCGGGGGCGAAGGGCGAAGGGCGCCGGGCGGGCGAGGGTGCGTCCTCCCGGGTGCCTGCCCGCCTCCCTGCAGCCAGCGTCCGCCTGCGGGGGTCCCTCCTGCGGCGCAGCCCGGAGGGCGCCGGCCTGGCCGCCTCTGCTTCGCCCTCCCCGGCTCCCGCCCCCTTCCCGGCCTGGCCCGGAGCCGCTGCCGAGGCGCACGTACCTGCTTGCGCCGCGCGGAGCTGTACGGCGGCGGTGGCGGCCGCTGTGGAGGGGTGCGGGGGGGTTCCGGGGACAGAGGGACAGGGGAAGGGGCGGGGGCCGGGGATCGCCGAGCGCCGCGGAACGAGCTCCGCCCGCGGCCGGCGAGGACGCCCGGAGAGTTAGCACGGAGAGGGACGGGGAGGTGGGTGATGGGCTGGGGTGAGGGTGCGGGGGCTCCAATCCATCGTCCTCCCCTCCGCTCCAGGCAGATCCGGATCGCCAGCGCCTGGGCTTAGGGAACTGGGGCTTCGAGCCCGCGGTCCCCGGGCGTAGGGGCGGGGCGGGAGGGGGGTGCAGGAGAAGACCCCTCCCCCGCCGCCTGCTTCTCTCCACACCGCTGGAAAGCCCCTATTGCGCCAAGCCCAGGTGCCTTCCCCGACCCTCACTCTCCCACTTCCCCTTCCCCCCACCCCCCCATCCCACACACAGCCCCGAGGTAGGACCCCGGATCCTCTCTGAGGTCCTTAGGTCGGGACAGTCTCCTCAGGCGCGTGCGGCTCCATGGCTCAAGGGCGCCACCTGAAGGCTTCAAGAAAGAATCGGACGAGCCCCTTCCCCCTTTTCTCTGCTTTTTATTCTCTGTGGGACAGTGGAGTGCTTTGCCCAAGAGGGGTGTTCTCTTGGGGCATTGCCAATGGCCACACACACCCTCACCCTCCAAGGCCCAGCTGTGGGGCCTCCTCTCCTGGAACCCCTCCCTGGGCACACACACCCACTCAGCACTGCATCTGGGCTCTTCTCTTGCCTGCACTGTTGCTCTTATCTCTGATGGTCGTGATTTTCTTTAAAGGTCAGCCTCCTCCATCGGACTGGCAGCTCTTGGAGAATAGGACCCATGTCTAATCGCCCAGAATGAACTAGGTGGGTGTGGGTGAACAAGCTGTGAATAGGGGTGACTTTCACCTCTTTCCTTTACAGGGCTGGGGTTAAGATGAGTCAAGTGAAGTGCCTAAAGCACTAAATTCAAGGAGACATTTCCTCTTTGGGGAACCCATGCCAACCCCAGAGAAAGGATTTGGTCTGATTCGTGCAGGTTTCGGGAAGACACGTGACCAGCTGAATCGTGTGGTTTCCGGCAGTTCCTCTGGCCTCTGAGCCTGTGTCCATTTCTGTTGATGAGGATCGTGAAGGTGCAGCCTTCGAGGGCTCTGGGAGAGCCGGCAGAAGTTGGCCACGTGGAAGGACAGGCGAATGAGAGTTCCATGTCCTGCTCCTTGGCCGTCTCATGAGGGGAGCCTGAGCTGTCCTCCTCCAAAGTTCTGTGCAGTCCTCTCCTGCTCTGGAAGAGACTGGAAGTCACCGTGGATCATAGATGCCTGTGCCTTCAAGGCCAGCATAACCTCGCCCTAGGCAGGACCACCAGGGCTGGGAAGGCCTCCGTTTCCTCCCAGCCTTGCAGAGGTCTGGCCTGTTGTTAGAGACTTCAAAGGGATGCTAGCCCTGGCACCACACCCCTGTTCAAATCCCAGCTCCACCCCCACAGCTGGGTGCCCTGGTGTAAAGGACTCCCCGCTCTGGAGCTCTGTGAAATGGATGTAGGAAGCTTTATGGGAATGAGATGAGATACCTCCCCTAAAGCGCTCACTGTTACTTCCTTCAGTCGTACACTGTCCTCCCTCAGCCTTGGCTGTTCCTTCTGCCTGGGACATTCTTCTTTCTAACACTTCCAGCACTCACCCCTTTCCCTCACTTCCTTCAAGTCTTCACTCAAATGTCACCTCAGAAGCACCGTTCCAGGTCATCCTTTCAACAACAGCAGTGCCCCAGCCCTCTTTACACCCTCACTCTGAATTTTTCTCTGTAGCATTTACCAACTGACATTTGTTTCGGTTTGTTTATTGCCACCTCCACTAAGAAATAAGTGCCCAGAGAAGAGGGTTTTCGCCTGTTTCCCTCCCTGCAGTATCACCAGACACTAGAAAAGGGCTGACACCTAGGAAGCTCTGGATAAAAACTCATTGGATAAAGAACAGAGAAAATGGGCAAATATTTTATACTAGTTAGCTGGCTAGACTCCATCCCTACACTCAAAAGCTCATCTTCTAGTGGGAGAAAAGGTTAAGTAAATGTAACATTGCAGTCATAGGAAGTGTTACCAAATAAAGATACACAGTGCAAGCCTCAAACAAGGGTGTCAATCTAGTCTTGGGGATAGGAATGGCTTCCTGTAAAGCTGCGGACTGAGCTGAGATCAGAAGGATGCATAGCAGGCAGCCAGTTAAAGAGGGCAGGAAAGGAGAAGTCCAGCAGAAGGACTAGCACAGGTAAAGTCCTTGGGCTTAGAAGGAAGTGTGAGGAGCTTTGAGAATTGAAGAAGACCCGTGTGGTTGTCATGGAGGGTTCAAAAAGGAGCATGGTAGGAGGTGAGCCTGGACTTAGCAGGCCAGGTCACTGCAGAGCCTTGCAGGCCAAGGAATTTGTTCTTTATCCTCAGAGCAGTAGAGAACCTCACCAATGAATATAAGTAAAGGGTTAACAAACCCTTTTCCTCTTTTGCCTGAGAATTTGAACTTTGGTTAACTGTCAAGCTCTGTTTCCTAGAAACAGATAAACATATGTCTGCTATGTTACTAAGCAACATTGCTTCTGATAAAAATGACCCCTGAGGAGGAGGCTAGAATGATCCATGTGGCAACAGATTAGAATTGGAGATACCAGAATGAACTCACGTTTAGCTTAATATAGATGCAGATGATTACATATAGAAAGTTTCATACACACACACACACACACACACACATACCCACACCGGCTAGTATACACACATATATTTCCTTACTGTTAGGCAAGAGGGCCTGGAAGCAATGATACTCCATAGCAACAAGCACACGTAGCACTGAAATCTTGGTTTCTAATACCATTCTCCAGTCAAAGGCTCCAAGGCTCCTTGGAGAAATTGCTGTTTAGAGGACTCGGGCAGGAAATACCACAAGGTGAGCCTGTAGCATCTGATAGTGCCGAAAAGTAAAGAAATGCCACACACACGCATACTACACACACACACAGCACACACCACATACTCTACGCATACACCATACACACACACTACACACACACTACACAACCCACTCTCCACATACCTAGTGCACACACACCACACACACTGCACAACACACACTCTACACACACACTACACACACCACATACCATATACCCACTACACACATTACATACACACACCATATGCATTACACACATCACACACATACCACACACACCATACGCCTCATGCTCTATACACACACCACATACATACACACCACATACATACACTACACACATACACACCACACACACTACACACACACCACATACATACACTACACACACACGCCACACGCACACCACACACACCCCCCACATATATACACTACACACACGCCACACACACGCCACATACACACCACACACACTACACACACACACACCACATACATATGCTCCACACACACACGCCACACATATACCACACACACCCCACATACACCACATACACATGCTACACACACACATGCCACACACGTGCCACACACACCACACACACATGCCACACACACCCCCCCCACACACATACACACAAGATGGTGGGGGTAGGAGTTAACTGAAGGAGCACCCAATGGCCGAAGCTGGAAAAATTTAAGTGACAAAATAAATAAGGTAATATTGGATTGTAACAAAAAGTATGAAATAAATATCTATGAGTCCATACAGGTAAAAATAACTGAACAAACAGGTATAAAAGCAAAATCTCCCATGCAGAATTCCAAATTCCATATGTAGGTAACTCAGTATTTGAGGAGGGGAACTATAACTCCCCCTTTTGAAAGTATGAGTTGCACAAAGTGACTTCCTTTCCAAGAGTGTTTTATGGAAAGCAGGGGGTTGCGGGGGGAAGTAACTTTACATTGGAGAAACCTGATGACCTCAGCCAGGTGATGAAAGTCAACTCCAACACTCAAATCACATTGGTAGTAGGTACCTTGGATACGATGTGGCACAAATGGTACTTTACCTCTGCTGTCTTCCTCCCCAAAACCCATAGCTGCAGTCTAATCATGAGATAAACATCAGACAAATCCCAAGGAAGAAGATTCTACAAAACATCTGACTCGTTCTCCTCAAAAGGTCATCAGAACAAGGAAAGTCTGAGAAATTGTCACAAACAAGAAGAACCTAAAAAGACATAACCACTCAGTGTAGTGTGGTATCCTTGATAGAGTACTGGAACAGAGAAAGGACACTTATGCAAAAACTAAGGAAATCTAAATAAAGAATGGACTTTGCTAATAACAGTGTATTGATATTGGTTAATTGTAACAAGTATACTAATGTAAGATGTTAACAATAGAGGGAAGTGGGTAGGGGGTCGATATCCTTTGAATATTTGTCTCCTCCAAATCCCATGTTGAAATTTGATCTGCAGTGGGGGATCTTGGGGTCTGGTGGGAGGTGTTTGGATCGTGGGAGTAGATTCCTCATGAATGGTTCTGTGCTGTCCCCATGGTAATAAGTGAGTTCTCACTCTACTAGTTCACTAAAGAATGGATTGTTAAAAGCAAGAGCCTGGCACCTTTCTCCCCTCTCCCTCTTGCCATGTGATGTCTGCTCCCCTCCCCTTTCTGCCGTGATTGGAAGCTTCCTGAAGTCCTCACCAGAATCAGGTGCTGCCATGCCTCTTGTACAAGCCCACAAAACCATGAACCTAATATTAATAAACCTCTTTCTATATAAATTACCTAGCCTCAGGTCATCATTTCTTCTCCATCCCTCCTCCTCCTCTTTTTCCTACTCCTCCTCCTTTTTCTTCTTTCTTCATCTTCTTCTCCTTCTTCTTCCTCTTCTTCTCCTCTTCCTCACTCTTCTTCTTCTCCTTCTCCTCCTCCTCCTTCTTTCTCCTCTTTCTCCTCCTCCTCTTCCCCCTCCTCCTCCTCCTCCTTCTCTCTTCCTCTTCTTCTTCTTCAGAGATGGGGCATCCATTCTGGCTGGAGTGCACTGGCACTATCATAGCTCACTGCAGCTTCAAACTCCCAGGCTTAAACAATCCTTGTACCTCAGCCTCCTGAGTAGCTGGAACTACAGGTGTGCACAACCAAGTCCAGCTTTTTATTTTATTTTATTTTATTTTTTTATTTTAGAGACGGGGTCTCACTATGTTGTCCAAGCTGGTCTTAAACTCTTGGGCTCAAGCAACTTTTCCTCCCCAGTCTCCCAAAGTGTTGGAATTACAGGCATGAGCCACTGTGCTCTGCCTAGGTATTCTTTTAAAGCAACACCAAATAGACTAAGACAGTGATATACAGGAACTCTCTATATTGTCATCCCATTTTTGCTGTAAATCTAATACTGTTCTAAAAAATTAAGTTGTTGTCGATGATGCTTTTAAACACCCTTGAGGGATAACTTGCATCTGGGCTGGAGGGAAACTATAAATGCCTGGTGGGAAATCACACTTTTGGCATAGTGATTCACGTAACTGGACAGGTCCCAAGACATTGGATCTTGTAGGAC